AGAAGGGCTCTGTTCTCCTCAGCTTTCCCCTAAAACTTAATTTGTTATTGCTTCTTGATAACACAGGCATGGTATGAGAAATCTCCAGATTTCCCCATTCTGGCTGATCAGATTGCTCTGTAACTTGGATTTAGTGAACCTTCAGAGTAAGGTTCAGATTTTGCTGTAAAATATCATAAAACAGGCTCCCAATATTTTGGGATTGGTGAGCATTCTTGGAATTTAGAGACCATATTATGAGTTCTTATATCATTTGGCTACCAGGACAAATCAATACAGCCAATGATAAAATATGGATACAATATAAAGCCATGCTTTTTCCCCCTCCACAATTAAAATTTTATTTTTAAATTTTAATTTTTTAAAAACTCTTTAATCAGATTTCAGAATATAGTATTCTGTTTTAAACATGAGTGGGCATTTAAAATGAAATATTTAAACAAGCATATTATGTTATGTTGAACTCTAATTTTTTAAAACTGAATTGATTATCCTGCATCAAACATGTTGAATTTAGATCTGCTGATCTGTGTTGCATAAGGGAAATAATCACTGAGTTTTGAGGTGAGCAGTATGGTATAAAAGGCCACGTATTATATTTACCAGCACTGCAAGTTATGATGATTCAGTCAATCAACCAGTGTAAATATTTACTTTCTATTGTGCAGAGAGCAACTGTTTTGCCCAGGACTTACTAGCTTTGCTTTCAAACCTACTTGGCACTTGATTTCAAGTGAACTATTATGTAAAATTACAGTCCAAATGATTTGCCAATGACAAGCCTCACAAAAACCAGGTCTCTTCATGGTAAGTTGGAACAGCTGGAATGGTATGGGCTCCAAGTCAGCTCACTTCAATTCTGCCTCATTCCATCAACATAATCATTCAAAGGCTGTAAAAGTTCCAGCATTGTTATCCTGATATGAATAGGCTTCTTAAGGACAGAACATTTTGTCCACCCTGACCCCAAAATGTCAAAATGGGCAATGAAATACTACATCCAGCTTTCTATGCCAGACTTTTTCAAACGGCTCCTTGTAGATACAGAGTTCCACGTGCTCCTATTTATTTATCAGGCACAATCTCGTTCTCCAGGGCTTGTCCTTGGTATCTCAGTTGTCCTATCTTCTGCTAGCTGTATGAGATTGGGTAGTCTTGAGAAAGATAGTAGTCCTAACAGCAGATTCATTATCAGGGTTTGGCCTCTAAATTGTACACTTTTAAATGGATGTTGGCTGCTTGACTGCTTCTGGATAGATTTATTGTACAGAAAATTACTCTGGAGATCATGCAGTCTAAACCACTAGTCAGAACAGGTTCTTCAACCTCAAAGGTTCTGTTCTGTTTTTCCTTGGACTCCAAAGTCCATCAAATGGCATCAGGCATTAAAAAAAAAAAAAACAAGACACATGCATATTGATAAAGTTAATTAAAAATTAAGGAATTGGTGCCTGTAGCTGGAACCAAGCTCATAAGTGATTTGCTTAAAAATCCATTCCTGGTTTTCTTCTGACCATTGTTGTTTAGCAGTCAATTTTAGGGAAAGGCATTTATGTTGCTGCTTTTGTTCAAACACTCTGAGCCTCTGTGAATCCCTCAACCACTTCACCACAGCATCCCTAGGAAATGGCTATCCAGACTCTGAGGAAATACTCGTGTTGGAAAGAAATCTTACCAAGTTTGTTTTCAGGCCAGGAATAAAATGCACAGGCAGTTGCTTGAAACAGAGGTAAAACTTCCGAGAGCACAGCACACAGAATGGGGTCTCGGAGGTAGCCACCAGCAACAATTCCCAAAGAGCCCTTTATATCGGGAAGATGGTGCCGCTGTTCTCTGAAAGGCGCGAAAGAACGCCCGCCCTCTAGGAATTCTGAGAAAGTGCAGTTAGCCAGAGTTCCTAGAGAGGGCGCTCTTAGGGGAAAGTGTAATTAGCAGGACCTCCAACAGAGAGCACTCTGGGGTCAGGCATCCCGCTGAGCTGGGCTTCCTTTGTTTTCCTTATCTAGCGCTGACTAACTGGAATACAGATCTAACTGGAATACAGATCTCTTCGGGGAAGAGATCTTATGTTATTTGATTCAGGCTTCAAGGAATGTTGGTCCTTCCTGCCAGATCTTTTGTTATTTTAATTTCAGGCTGGAGTGAAGGACTCTTGACTCTTCCTGCCACATTGTAGTCTTTTAGGGGAGGCCATTCCAATTGTAAATTTAATCCTATACCTTGATTGCTGTTAAGGTAAACAATGGCAGGGTGAGACAAATGGAAAACTTTGACTTCCTGCTGACATAGGGAAGAATTTGATTTCCTTCTTACACTCCTTCCTTTTATTTTTGTGCAAAAATAGAATACTTTATGCACAGCCAGATGGGGAATTTAGTAGCTATTCATCATCCTGTGACTCAAATTCGTATTTTTGGTCAATCTGCATCAGCATTAAGGATATCTGCCTTGGGGAAAGGAATGCTGATCTTGGTTTGAGAACAGAACAGCATTCCCTACAACACCCTAAGCAGGAGAGTCAACATTGAGCAAAACAGCAAACAAATATTCCTATTACCACCAAGCCCATAATACCCAGAAACATTGTTTTTAACCAGGCAAGGTTTGGTAACCAGGAGGTAAGCCATGAGAAATCAAAGAAGCCTTGACTATAGCCAAAGTTTTTAAATCCTGTATACTTCCCTCTATCAATTTGGAATTATCAAACAAATTAAAACAGCACGTACCTTCAGGACGGAGAAGGAAAATGGCTTAGGCAGTTGAATACAGGGCAATCCACCCCTGCAAGCTCTCTCTTACAGTCTGCACGCCCAATCTTCCGCAGGAGGCCCTGAGTTTCACTTGAGGGGTTTTATCTGCCTGTTGTATGTACTGCGGACATATGGCATATCAACAATAAAAGCACATTTAGAGATTTAGTTGATTATTAGAGAGTGCTGAGTTTGCACTGGCTCTCTCTCAAAGTCAAAATAGTCACAAATTTTAGAGTCATTCAGCGGCCTTGTCTAGACAGGGAATCTCCCTTGCGAGTGATGAGGCATAGACGTGTAGACCCAATAGTTATACTGCTGTTCAGCGATGGCAATCTGGTAGCTGATATGTTAGTATATGCAGTGGTCAGCGGGAGGAAGAGGCACAGGAGAAGTTTAGGCAAGCATTTCAGCCAGCGTAGACATCCCTGCTTTAAACAGATTCACACCTCAACTCACAAGCTTGGAAAAGGTGACCGCAATCCTCCTTGTGAGTTCTTATTGAAGTCTACTGAACAAAAAGACAATCATTAGTCACTCTTGTAGAGAAGTCTTCTTCTATTTGGAGATCTGAAGCATTTTTTCCAGCAGGGAAGAATACTTTACCTGCTTTCAGTTACCCAGTGCCTCCCTTCACCCACACTTTTGCTCTTGGGGCCTCAAATTGTCTTTCCCCCTTTTCTTTACTCTGTGCAGAAGGTTTCCCTTTTGTCACATGAGGGAAAGTGATTTTGTGCAGGATCAGTTGCACCACTCTGTCTCCTGCTATGAGGCTCATTTCAGGTCTCTCTGGGTCTAGGTGGAGAAGCATTCCTTGGTAGCCAGGGTCTATTACATCCTCCCCCCATAGATCTATGCCCAGTAGTGCCCAAGTCTGTTATTTTTTATTTACATGGATATCGATGGGCACTCTCAGGTCTGCTCCTGCAGCTTCCTGGGTTGCAACCACCAGCAGGAAAGCATCAGGTTCTAATTTCCACACCTGGAGCATGCAATCCTTCTCTCCTGGGGGGAAGTTCTGATATTGGGCATAGGCTAGGTGGGGGCAACAAATCTCTGATTGAGCTTCAGGATGGCTTGATCCAATAGTGGTCTCCACCCCTTTAACGATTTGTGGCCACACAGGAGGTGGATTTGCTGCTTTGGGCGGCCTTTAAGATGTCTGATGAGTACTGCACCTGGTTTGAGCATCAGTTTGTTGCCACAGTCCTTAGGAGGAGCTTGAGTCAGTGGGGACAACTTCAAGCTCAGATGCAGGGTTTTCTTTGCCACCGTCCCACATTTCTTTTTCCCTGTTGATAAAGTAGCCAGAGTACCTGTGAAAAACCAGTGCCAATATCCCAAGAGATCTCCAAAAGATTGACTCTGCCTCGCAGTGCAGAGAGTGGCCGAATTGAAGATCCAGTTGATCACCTTTGTAGGGATCCTTGAGCCTTGTTAGGATTAAATACCTGATCATGCAGTGTAAGATGAAGCGGCTAGGCTGATTCTTACTACCAAAGGGAAGACAAATCATGAGAGGTTAGCATAATTGTAGAAATGCATACCCAGATAGCAGGCCCTCATACTGTGAAAGGGTATGGGTGAATGCAAACAGCCCTGAGACAAAACTTGGACTGTTCATCACATTTCTAATTAGATGAAGACATTACTATTATAAACTTCAACTGTTAAGGACTTTAATACCTTCTCATTCCTAATAATTTCCTAGAATGAGAACTTGCAAAGCTGGAAGAAGAAATCTACATTGACATAGGAATTTATGGAGTGTCTGGATTGCTTCCAGAGCCAAAAGCTATTAAAAATATTTTCCTTTTGTTTTCAGATAGACCATACAAGTCCATGGAGGCTCTATCAAATATTATCCTAAACATTGTTTCCCTTTTATTCATAATATCCATACTGAGGGACAAAGACAAAACCGAGTAAACTTCTCCTTATAAGCCATTTAGTTTAAAAGGTAAAACACATGAAGACCCCCTTTAGGGCCAATGCTGGACCCTTGTTGCAAGGCAGAGGATGAGATTGCTGATAAAAATTGAAATGCAAAGCACTCTTGGGGGCAGTACAGCAATTAAGCAATAGGGCAAAAATGTACCTCCCTCCCCCCTTCTCTGAGTGATTGCTTCTCTGAGATTGCATAGGTCTTCTTGACAGAAGGTACCACTTTTTCTTAACAGTAGCAGCTGGTAGAAAATGAATTTGCAAAAGAAAACATTTGAAATGCAGATCTAAAAAAGAAACACTTAAAGTCCAGCCCATTTACTGCAATCACCTTTTTTTTTTTTTATAACATTAGAGTGAGAAGCAAGCTCCCCCCACTGCTTCAGGTCTGATAGACTGGGGGAAAAAAATTGTTTCAGGGCTTTTGTTTTCAGGGAACTAATGCCCCAAAACCATAAGAGGGGTAGGAAATTTTTCATAACATTTTTCTGAAAAACATTAGGCCAGGGTTTTCCCCCTGATGTTTCTCAAATAAAACATATGCTATGGAGCTGGAGTTATTTTGTAATAGCACGTATAAACTACAAAATACTGGAGTGTGTTGCAAAGATGTTTGCCATTACAGTAGTATTTGAGCTGATGTGATGACAGCTATCTATACAGATACCTGTGAGCAGCATTTTTTTTTTTTTTGAGATGCAATATGAGCTTTAATTGTATTCCATGTATGTTACTTACAAAGAAACTTTTACAGAGAACCACAGTGCTTTGGTTATTCTCTATTTACATTTGCTTTCAGACTTCTACTCCTACCCTCAGTCCTGGCCAGATGTTTTTCTACACCATAAAAAAAAAAAAACAACAGAAAAACATGTACTCCTTTACTTCTTCCTGGGCCAATTTTTGGTAGTGTTTCCACTGGGCCATTCAAATAGCTTATACCTGCTTTTTGCAACTCTGCATTCCCACCTTGAGATCAGGCCAACAGAACTGCCAGTAAACAGACATCCACCTTCATCTTCCCCATTCCCGACACACTAACCCCTCACAAACCCTCTTATAACATACAATGTGCTTTTCTTTGCTTCTGTCAGCATTCTTCTGATACCTTCTGTCAGCTTCAGTCTTCTGATGCCTTCCAAAAAAAATCACTGGGTCCCTTTGCACTCCATCTTCTGCAACCTCGCCAACCCTTCCATCTTCACTGAGACCCATTTCCAGCCGTTCAAAGCAGTCCAAACAGGCTTCAGGCTTCCTCTACTCAAGATTGCCAATTCCTGACCACTGGAGCTCTCCTGCACCTTTACATGAAGAGGAGACTTCCTCTCCTGACCCAGAGCTCTATTTAAAAGCCCCAGAATCCCAGATCTCTTGGAGGGTGGGAACAGTTTTGTTTCCTCTCCACATACAACTCCAATGGCTCAAGTATGAATGGCTTTGTTTCACCTGGCAATGTTCTGAATTGGTTTTTAAGTATAGATAACAAACAGTACACCAGCACACATGCATCAAGAAAAGAAATGAAAAGGAGAAAAGGTCAGTCAGTCCCAAAAGAGAAATACACTGAAATCAAAGTACAAGAGGAGGTCTCTACAAAAGTATTAAAACAATAATTTTTTAAAAAAATATTAACTATGTGGCATGTCAATTCACATAAGGAATGCACACCTCCACCTAAGTGTAGAATTCCAGTCATTCCGATGTAAACCTGCTGATCCTGGGGATCCTTTGCATGAGAAACAGCAGCCCAACACTCAGACTGGGCCCCTCTAGAGCAGTGTTTCTCAACCTCAGCAACTTTCTGTATGGACTTCAATTATCTACATACACCTGAAGGCCTTTTAGGCACTGCACTCACCTGAAGTTAATTATAAGAAAGAAATTATAAGAAAATAATCTTCAGCAATCTCTGTTCTGGAAACATGGAAGGAATGAAAGTTTAATGTTTCTCCCTTAGTCTTTGTTAAATTCAACTGCTTAAAAATTTATCTGACCCCTAGCAACTGCCTGGATGAGTCCCTGCAGCCTTTTTGGCAACATATTTCAGAAGTAGCCTGCCATTGCCTCCTTCTTAGGGCTGAGAGAAAGTGACTGGCCCAGGGTCACCTAGCTGGCTTTGTGCCTAGGCGGGACTAGTGCCTTAACCACTACACCAAACTGTCTCCCTGAAAAAAATTGTTTGCCTTCCTTTCCTTGGCTTCAAGAGAGAGGAAAACAAATTTAGTACACACACTACACCAAACTGTCTCCCTGAAAAAAATTGTTTGCCTTCCTTTCCTTGGCTTCAAGAGAGAGGAAAACAAATTTAGTACACACACTACACCAAACTGTCTCCCTGAAAAAAATTGTTTGCCTTCCTTTCCTTGGCTTCAAGAGAGAGGAAAACAAATTTAGTACACACACTACACCAAACTGTCTCCCTGAAAAAAATTGTTTGCCTTCCTTTCCTTGGCTTCAAGAGAGAGGAAAACAAATTTAGTACACACACTTAACAACCCATCACCACCTTTGCATTGGCAGGGAATTCATTAGATCTTAAATTTAATTAAGCAAAAGCATGTCAAACTTCATACCCTTTTTTTTTTAACGCTCTCAAATACATCATTAAACAATCCAGACCGAAGTGCAATAATCAATCAGATTTTGACACACAACATATGCTGACTTCAAACCCTTTGAATCACATTATAAGTTTCCACCCCACCCCCCACATTTCACTCTTTATGCCCAAGTTTGCCACGGGCTATCCATGGTAGCACCCAGAGTGCCTTCCTGAGGGTGAGCACAGAGGGATGGGAAAAGGGGGAAGAGACAAAGCCTCAAGGAGACCTTTGCTAAAGAGGCATTCTTAGCAGGTGGCCCTGAAGAGATTAGAAAGTTTAAAAGTCACCCTGAAGAGATTAGAAAACTTAAATTCCATCAAAATAGAGTCACAGGAGAAGAGAGAATGAGAGGAAAGACATGGAAGTCCTATAAAAAGTCAGTGAATGATTCAGAGACAAAATATAGCATAAAGAAACCTTTTGAGAAGTATTTAGGAAGCAAAAGACAGTTGGCATCTAGCAAAGGGTTCAGTGGCGGAAAAGTGATTCAAAAGCTGAGATGCTGTTATTTCCATCAGCACTATTGTACTGAAGCACATCCTCATTTGCAAGCTTAAATATGACAGCCATGGTCCTGTGGTTGCAGTAGAAGGTATTTGTTTTGGGAAACATTGGTCAAAGATTATTCAGATTTTATTGCCCATTAGCTATACTTGGTGGTACCTTTTCCTTCTTTTTTCTAGCTTAATTCAATAGGAATTTGTGGAGCAACCAGGGACAGAGCAGAAGACATAAATCAGAAGGGCAAAGTTAAGGAAAAAAAGAGTAGCCTTACATATTCAGCTAGGGTATCAGCTATATGGGCTGAGGGAGATCCAGGGTTATGGATGGAAGTTCCCAAAGTCTGAAAATATCCACTGAAAAGAAATCTCATTTCCCTACTTATATTCCTGAGAGCTGAGGGAAAGGGGAACACACAAAGTTGGGAGTAGAAATGAGTAGGAGGTACACACAAGAACTTAAATAATTAGCCTCAAGAAATTCATGGTTCAGAAAGACAAGCAGACAAGACATATGTGCATGCACAGATATGCTTGATTAAAACACAAAACAAGCTACTGATAACTCTTGGTTCTCCCAAGCCTGGGTTGTATATATTTGTCCCAGTGATTACAGTTATTGTAGTCCTAGATGGGGCTGTTTGCTGGCCAGGCAAAATGGGCTGGGGCTGGGACTACTCACAGCAGTTTTCTCAAAAAGTTTTTTAAAAATCTCATCTCTGGTAAGGAAGATATTCAACAGCTGCATCATGTCTCCCCAGGATGGGTTATGGCTTTCAGTAATGGCCTGCAGGGTCCTAATGACCATCTGCAAGTCCTTTTGAAAGGGAGGAGCATCTTTCTTCCAAATTACTAGATCAGATGGGTAGAAAGGTGGGTGGGTGAAAACGAAATCTGAATTACCTTGTACTTGGCCAGGTACAGGATTCTTTCATAAAGGCGCCATTTAATTTCCTTGCAGTGTTCCCGTCCAAGACATCCAACTCGGGATGGGCTGGAGAGGCACTGGGCATGGTTGAATTAAAAGTTACACTAATGGGATTAGAAAGTTCTGCCCAACACTACCAATAAAGCAGATTGAGAAGGCTTCAGTTTTGTCTTAAAGCTTTTTTTAATATAGCATAGTCAAAAGTACCCATCTCAGATCAATTGAATTACCAGCTGCATCAGAAAGCTTAGTGCATTCCAGTCACAAATTCCATGCACAGCTTTTTCCTCATCCTTGCCTGTATGGGGTCACAGGCAAAGAGCATTCTGGGGAGACCTCCCCATTTCCTTCCCTAACTTTGACACGCGTGGCCCCCTAGCTTTTAGGCGTGTCCTTTACACCCAGAGACTTCCTAACGAAGTAATGGTCCTCCTCACAACCCCCAGGTAAAGACATGCATTCAACCTTTCGCTCACAAAAGGAAATTACACACTCACTGGGCCAAGACACAAAATTTAAAGGCTACTTACCGACTATGAAGCCTCAAGTTCAAACAGCTGTTTGGTTCAAAGCCCCAAACCCCCTTTACTACCAAAGTCGAAGCAGGCAGAATCCGGAGCAGCACCTTCCAGACAAATGGTCCGGGGGCCGGCTGGGTGAAATTGCCTGGGGCTCAGTCTGTCAACCCGGTGAGTCTTGGAGTCCCATCTGGGGTGCCAAATTGTTGGAAAGAAATCTTACCAAGTTTGTTTCCAAGCCAGGAATAAAATGCACAGGCAGTTATTTGAAACAGAGGTAACATTTCCGAGAGCACAACACACAGAATGGGGTCTCGGAGGTGGCCACCAACAAGAATTCCCAAACAGCCCTTTATATCGGGAAGATGGTGCCGCTGTTCTCTGAAAGGCGCGAAAGAACGCCCGCCCTCTAGGAATTCTGAGAAAGTGCAGTTAGCCAGAGTTCCCAGAGAGGGCGCTCTTAGGGGAAAGTGTAATTAGCAGGACCTCCAACAGAGAGCACTCTGGGGTCAGGCACCCCTCTGAGCTGGGCTTCCTTTGTTTTCCTTATCTAGCGCTGACTAACTGGAATACAGATCTCTTCGGGGAAGAGATCTTATGTTATTTGATTCAGGCTTCAAGGAATGTTGGTCCTTCCTGCCAGATCTTTTGTTATTTAATTTCAGGCTGGAGTGAAGGACTCTTGACTCTTCCTGCCACACTGTAGTCTTTTAGGGGAGCCCATTCCAATTGTAAATTTAATCCTATACCTTGATTGCTGTTAAGGTAAACAATGGCAGGGTGAGACAAATGGGAAGCTTTGACTTCCTGCTGACATGGAGGGAAGAATTTAATTTCCTTCTCACACTTGCAATGGAGAATTCACCCATTCCCAAGACCATTTGGCCCACAGTTTAATTCTTTATACACCTAGAAAGGTTCTCATAATGTTAACCCAAATCTGCTTCTGTGCAGTTTCCGCCAATTGGTTCTTATCTTGCTCAAGGGAGACCAGCTCCATTTCATCTTCTACATGGCCCTTCTGATACTGGAATACTGCTTCCAGTTCCCCTCTTAATCTTCTATTCTCCTATCTAAGGATGCTCCACTCTTTCAACCAGGCCTTACTAGTGGTGATTAACCTATACCCTTCAATACAACCACTCCACTATTTTCTTTCTATTTCTGTGTGCATGTGTGTGTGCCTTCGAATCATTGTTGCCCCTTGGTGACTGCCTGACCTAGTCCCTGAAGATTTCGGAAGTGGTTTGCCATTGCCTCCTTCCTAGGGCTGAGAGAGAGCAACTGGCTGAAGATCACCCAACTGGCTTTGTGCCTAAAGCGGGACTAGAACTCACAATCCCTTATTTTCTAGCCTGGTGTCTTAAGCACTACACCAAAATCTTTTCCTTTAAGAATAATTCTTTTCATTTCCCACCTGCAAACTAATAACTCACCTCCAGATGACCTCCTTGCTGCCAAGGAATTCTCAGAGTTACACTCATAGCACATCTGAGGGCAACAGGCTGTGCAAAGCTGAATTATTCGTATAGTTATGTTTCTCAATGTGTTTATTAAATAAGTTTTATTTTTAAATATTGTTATGGTCAGTTGCATCAAACAGTCAGGAATGAGTTTTCAGCAGATAATGAACCTTGCAGTACCAGTCTGACCCCTCTTTTTCTTTGTGAAACATTAAAATATCTGCCTTCATGTTCCTGTGAAACACATTTTACTTTCCTTGTACTTTTGTTATCAGCCTAGTTTTCTGTGGAATGAGATGTAGTCACCTGGTGGCACGGAAGTGGGCAGAGGAAGATGGAGGCAGCTTCCAGTAAAAAAAAACAAAATGATTTATGGAACCACTGATATGTTAAACCACAGCAGGAGGGGGAAAAACTAACTATACTGTTAGGGCAGAGTGCTCCACCCACACTGAGTCAACATTTTTTTTTTAATTATCCAAGATAATGTGACTCACTTGAAAAA